ATATATGTATATATGCATATATGTAGATATGTATATATGTATATGTGTATATGTATGTATATATGTAACGTATATATGTATATATGTATATATGTATATGTCTATGTCTATGTATATGTGTATGTGTATGTGCCTGTGTATATTATGTATGTAGGTATGTATATAGGTATGTATATATCAATACATACATATATATATACATGTATATGTATGCATGTATGTATGTATGTATGTATGTATGTATGTACAATGTATGTATGTATGTATGTATGTATGTATGCATGTATGTATGTATGTATGTATGTATGTATGTATGTGTATGTATATGTATATGTACGTGAAAGTGTATATGTGTGTGTGCATGTGTATCTGTATGCATGTAATATAAACACAGCACGTATTCATGCACATATATTATCTGCTCTAGCCACAAACCCAATATGGCCAAACCTCTCTGTGTCAAAACACATATCGCGATATAAGCAGCTAGAATATTATCAAAAACCACATGCACACATGCTGTGCTATACACATAGCAAGACACGTGCAACGCCACCCACTCCCGTGGGCACACTCACCAACCTACCGACCCACCCCCTCCAAGCACCCACCAACCCGCCCATTCTTGGATCTGAGGTGCCCCCTCCGTGGCGAGGATCGCTTCGCACGATGGTTTGGCAGGGGCCCTTGCAGTGCCTCTGCAAGGGGCGCCGTCGAGCACTGGTTCTTTGTCGAGTGGTGCTTCCTATGACAGCAACATCGAAGATGCCCAGTGCCCCTATGTAAGGAGCAAGGATATGCCAGCAACCCGTGCAGACTTGCATAAGGAAGACAAAGGCCCCACGGCGATCAAAGGAGGCCCCGAGGCAACCACCAACTCACGCCCCAGCAAGCTGCGACCACGGCCCAGCCAGAGGTTGCCACCGACAAGCCCGACGAACCCTAGCCACTCCTTGCCGCCGACAAACCCGACGAACCCTAGCCAGTCCTTGCCGCCGACAAACCCGACGAACCCTAGCCAGTCCTTGCCACCGACAAACCCGACGAACCCTAGCCAGTCCTTGCTGCCGACAAACCCAACGAACCCTAGCCAGTCCTTGCCGCCGACAGACCCGAAGCCCAAAAAGACTGCAACTAGCACGCCACTGAAGAGAAAGGCCACGCAGGTGAGCATCGAAGGATCACCCCCATCGAGTATATCCCCACCGTCTTCCACCGCCACAGCAGCCACAGATGCCAATAGACCCCGATCCAAATCCCCGAGCTATTGGCAGAGTTTCGGTTGCAGTTACATGTGCACTTGGGAGAGTTAGGAAAACACCTATCGATCATGTTCCTGCAGGATGCGGCGATATTTCGAACCGAAGAAATGCGGAGCCTTGAAATGCAGCGAGTCAGCCTTGGCTATGTACCGCACGACAGAAGGACGCAGCTGGGCTGTTACAGGAGATCACTGAGTAGGTTCTGCATGAATGATAGATATATACATATCCACCTTTGGCCTAGGGGAAAAACTTCGCGAGCTCTTGAAGGCGCACGGCAACTTCAAAGCGATCGAACTCCACCTTAAGAAAACTCATACGGCCTCCTTTGGCAAAAGCAAAGCCGGCCAGTGGGTGACGAAACATTACCTGCTGAACGTTCTGATGTGGACACCGTCTTCTTCTTAGTTGCTACTGCAAAGTGTAATGGGGGGGGGGGTTGCCGTATGTCTCATATAGTTCGGCTGGTGTTACATCTGGCTGGTTAGGAAGATGGTGACAGCCGCATGGGGCTGGGCGTCGAAGACCAAAAATCTTCGCCGAAGCCCAGTGCATGGGGAAGAAGAAGCCAGGTTGGTGCTTACGGATAAGTTTGAGGCCCAGGACACGACAACGCAGCAGACGGAGATGGGTGGCACTATCGAGCTCGAGGAGCTTCTGTTTCTTGTTAACGCATGATCCCTGCCACGCCTGCCCCTCCCACCACAAAATTATAGGATCGACCTAGCTAGCTGCAGATGTACATCATGCACACCCACACACACATATATGTATAGTGACCGATACTGCAGCACACTTGCATGCATATATGCACATGTGTTTTAATATAATGCAATGTACACCATGCATGTCATAATATATATATATATATAATATATATATATATATATATGCTGGCAGTAACATGTGTATGCATGACATGTACTATATCCCTAAACCCTAAACCTATACAATGCTGTTCAGGACGAGAGTGGCTTCCTCCTCGAGCAGGACACACCGGACATCAATGCTGAGGATGCAGCATTGATGAATGGTGAGTCGGCCCCAGCCTCCAGCAGCAAGGGTGGTTCTGCACAGCAGATGGAGTCTTTCTCTGCTAGTGCATCCTTCAAGCTACTAGTTTGCATCTCCTAGCTGTGCTAGTGTGTGCACGAAACTGCCAATCCCTGCCTATAGACCCTTAAATTAAACCCTAGGCCCTAGGATTTAAAACCCTAGACCCTAAACCCTAAACGGCTCCGCTTCTGCTAAGGCTAGTGTTCCCAAGCCTGTCGCAAACGAGCAGCCCCGTGACACTGCTGCCGGAGTACCTGGAAGTGTTGGGTAGGAAGATCGACAATTGTGAAGACGTGCTGGACCCGCGGTCTAGGGTTTCGTAATTATACTAGGGTTTCATAGGGGCTATATTCTAGAGCGCTGAAGCTTGCATACTGTAATCCGAGAAAGCCAATGTACAGCCAACTCGTGTCGCACAGGACCGGCTGAGCCAAGTGGATGGGGCCCGTGCCAAGGGGATGCTTGCTTGCAACTTAACCTATCCTAGGCCCCCCTTAACGACCCGGCTGGTACTGCTGAGGCTCCGGGACCAGATCCAGACCCAGCTCCAGCTTTTGAAGACGTGTTTCGCTGATATGACCAAGAAGCAATCCGATGCCCTCACCCGGCCACTGGACAAGCTACCTGGTCTAACTATGTCGACAGCACGCAAAGCCAAACCCTAACTTTAAACCTTAGCCTATCTGTTTGCAGGCCCTTCCAGGACTCCATCCTGAAGGTGTTCGCCGAGGTGACAAAGCAGGATCTGATCATGAACAACTACGTTGTCAGGTCCCGGACACTTATCTGCATACATAGACCTTGCTATATCGTTGTGCAGTTGGGCCTGAGGTCCAAATCCCATTAAAAATCTGTCGGTGTTGGAGGCCCTCAATCTATATCCAAACCCCAAGCCCCAAGCTCTTAGCTCTCGAGCCCGCGATCAGAATAAGTTGCATCCGAGACCCTACAAACCCCAAGCCCTTATCGTGATCTAACTTTGAGATGCTACAACTTCGATATATAGCTAGCTTTATATAATAGAACCCTACAAACTCTGAGCCCCTATGTATATTTATATCCGAACCCCTGCCAACCCTAAGCCATATTATAAGCTCTCGACTCCAGATTATACTAGCCATTGCCCTTTAAATCCCAAGAATGATAAACTCTCAAACCCTGAGATCCGAAACCCTATACACCCCAAAACTCTCAATTCCCTAGGACTCTGAAATCTACGCCGGGTTCCTCGAAGCCTGCGGGGAAGTCGAACAAGGACAAGAAGGACAAGAAGGACAAGAAAGATAAGAAAGAGAAGAAGGAGGATAAACCACCCAAGAAACCCAAGAAGGAAAGCAAGGGAAGCCCGGCCAAGCCTGCTCCCAAGAAGTTTGCCAAAGGTGCATGAAATGCTTGCACCTGTGATGTTTAATTTGCTGTATCGACCCCAATCGTGTGATGCTGTGCTCATGCAGAGTTCAGCACTCCATGTTCCGATGCACACGCGGGGAAGCTGTGCAGAGAAAGTGCGAGCAACAAACATATTGCACATTGGCCAACATGCCTGCACAATGATTGCTCTCTGCTGATCCACCAGCTCACAAGTAGTACGTAGAAAAGTCAAACGTATACATCTGTGCAGGCATGCTTCGGGTACAGCCAGCAGAAGCCACTGCAACAGACGCACAAGGTCGGACCAGTCAGCCCTAGCTAGCTGCTAGCTAGTTACATAATGCCGGAAGGTATGCTTCCAGAACACCCAGCAGCAGCAGGTGCAGCAGACGCAGGAGGTCGGGCCTTTGATGAATCCCCATTTTCATGACCCCAGATGCATAAAACACTTTCGATCCAACCCGACCCAACAAAAACGATCCCTATATATAATTAACCCTAAACCCTAAATCCTAAACAAACCCTATAAACCCTAAACCGCTGCAGTGAGAAAGCCAAACTTAGACTAAGCCCCATGCCTTAAATCTGCAATCCCTTGCTGGGCACGCAGGCCATTCGAGTGAGGACGACGATGTGAGCGATGATGACCTGGCCAATGAGCTTCTGGTTGGATTTCAGACTGGGGTTCCTTACCTCAAATAGTATAGGTTATAAGTTTGTTGGGAGCAGTCATGCAATATGGGTTCAGGCAGAAAGTGCTGAACGTGTCGTCCGGATAGCTCAAGTGGCCTCCCGCAAGATGCAGAAGCAAGGAGTCGTGGTCAGATAAGTTCTATTTCTGCAAATACTCAACTCCCCTAAGCCCTAGACCCCTAAACCCTAGCCAGCTATCTGCTAGATTTTATTATATATATATATATAGGGACCGTGTCTATCTTAAGGGCTTTGTTTTAGCCTTTGGCCAAGGACCGGTAGACCCGTCTCTAAAGGAATTGGCAGCATCTGGATCCTCCAACGCCTCCCGCAGCCTGTATCGACTTATTCAAAGGCAAGGCCATTGTCTGCCAGTGAGAATCACTGGGGTCAATGCACCAATCCGAGTGATCAAGAAGGGCAGAGTGCTTCGTGAGGATTGGAGATTTCCAACTTTGCTTCCGAGCTCGTGGGTAGAATATGCACTTAGCATTGGAGGACAGCCTATTTTAGGTGGCTGCACTCTAGATGAAACGAAGGCATACACGACAATGCTCAAGCAGTTCTGGCAAAACTATCGGATGACTCACCCTTCCTTCGATGCATTTACAAGGGAGGACTTCGATGAGATCGCTGCCACCCTCGTACCATTCGCCATACATGGGGATGAGGGCAGAGGAAAGGGCAAGAAGCCTATCATGTGTCTTTCTGTCCAACCAGTCATTGGGGCTAAGGGCCTGGGTTTTCTCAACATGAGTGGGTATCTTGTCGACATTCGAGTATTGCAATTTGCTTATGTTGCCCAAAAACTCTGCCGTTCTCAATTCCCCGCTAGCACCAACAAGGCACTCGTTCACCAGCAGGATGCTCTACACGTGTATACCGTCCGAGATGTATTGCGGTGACCAAACACTGAGAGTCCTTCTGGATGCACTATCGAGTGACCTTGCACAGCTGTATCGCGACGGTGTGGAAGCTTCTCGGCCTCGGCTATAGATGCATAGGCTTTGTAGCCTGGGGTTGGTGTGTTTGTAGATTCTTTCAATCGCGAACTACAGAAGCTGCTCCATGAGGTGATACACAAAGGCCGTGCAATTCGGTTTCGAGTGGCACTGCTAGCGGTCAAAGGAGATTGGCCGTTTCTTAGAAAGGCCATGGGCTTGGCATCCGGGTTTACTTCCAAGTACAAGTGTCATATTTGTATGACAGAAGAACCTGGTTCGCACTAGTAAAAACTGTTATGTAATATTTTAAACCCTAAACCCTAAACCCTAGCCCGTAAAAGATCTTATGCTATAAATAGTATGGCATCTACAGGAGTGGTATGACTGCTCAAAGGAAGCCCTCGCCGCTGCTCATGCGCAAGATCCGAAGCCCGGTCCCTTCAAAGAGACCGAACCTCCCTGGCCTTTCAGAAAGCTACCTACAATCTTGGACAACGCATCAACCATCAAGCCGGATGTGGCTCACACGTATGCCATAGTGGGATGGGGAAAAGATCTTGCGGCATCCAGCTTGATTCTTCTGTGCCGTCTACGGGTTTTCTCTGGGCGATCTATTCAGGAAGCACTCGATGCTGCATATACAGACTTCAGGGACTACGCGCACCGAAAGGGCAAGTCAACATCAATCACCAACTTCAGCCTGAAAACCCTCAAGGTGGAGACGCACCTCGCCGTACATAAGCCCTGGCTACAAACCACCTCCAATGCTATATATAACCCCTATAGGTAAACGGGTTAAACCCTACAATGCTATACAGCCGTACAGAAGCCGTAAACCCTAAACCCGAGGCAACTAGTCGATTCAAATCATGACCCACTATGTAGGTTGAAAGAGTATCCTGGCGGCTGTGGAAAGGGCTTCGACTGCGGTGTTATGAATGGCTGGTTGGAAGAGGTGACAACTCGTGTGCGACAGGCATCCCTTGTAACTCTCTTGGCATAGTATATATATATATAATATTTTTGTCAGACCCAGGCCCTATATACATGAAGACAATCCCAATAGGGTTTAGGGATTTAAGGGTTTAGAGTTTAGGGTTTAGGGGTTTAGGGGTTTAGGGTTTAGGCTTATAATAACCTAGGATCCCCAACACCTCGAGCTCTTCAAGTTGCTTCAATGGACCCTGCTCTGTTGTGGCATCCACTTCCGAACCCTTTACAGAGGAGGTGTGTTTTTGACCAGGGCCCAAGCTGTAACATCGGCCGAAGCCGGTTGGAAGATGCTCGAGCCTTGGCCAGAGAATTCTGTACAAAGGATTAATCATCCCTAATGCTTAAGGTAGAGGGGCACCTGTGGTTCCGTGGTTCCATACACCATCGTTCTAAACTGAGGAAGGCCTCACCCGATTAGCCAGGAAATGTGCAGAATTCCAATGGCCTTTGTATCGCATACGACCGAAGTTCCATATGCAGGCGGAAATCATGCAGCTTCGCTCAGACTGCTGGTATTGGCATAAGTTTTCTAAGTAGTGCAAAAGACTGCTGGCATAAGTTTTCTAAGTAGTGCAAAAGACTGCTGGCATAAGTTTTCTAAGCTAGTAGTGCAAAGAACTATCTAGATCCCTAGGTGTTTTGTTGGAGAGTGCATGCACTCCAAGTTACGACCTCGAAATGCAGCTGCAGAGCCGCAGCCCTGTCGTTATGAACTGCCTTAGCTACTTGGCTATCGAGAGAGCATCATGAGCATCGCATGTGCAGTATGCATCATGAACATCGAATGCAGTATGCATGCCCCGGTTATGTGTGCAAGGTTGGAGCACTTGGTCAGATGAAGATTTCATTGGCCGCATATCCCGGATCAGCCGCAAGTGCCACCCCTCTACGACCATCGCCCACACAGTTACTTCGAGGAAGGGCACGTGGTCCGGCAAAAAGTGTGCACTGTGCTGCACGCTGGATGTTGGAGGGGTTATCTATAAAACCCTATAAGCTCGGTCCTACACGCGATGAACGAAGATCAAACAACAGGGTAACACCAGTAAATTTCATTATGCAAATCCCGAACATATACATCCCAAATCGTTTCCTGCTTGGAACCCTATAGGTTGACCTATATATACATCCCTAACCCTTATAGCTTGAATAATGCTTAGACTTGCCAAGCTCGGCCACATTTCCGCCAAAGCGGCCGAATATCAAGAAGCGGCCATAAACCACAAAAGCGATACCGATATTTTGCGATACCGAAAATAACATCACAAAGGAATGCTCAGGTATAGTACCCTTATAGAAACCGTTATAGAAAGCCGAAAAGATCCCTTTAAAGGCTAGCGTTGGTTGTTGGAGTTTAGTTTCTGAGTTTCCGGTCTTCGGTGTGCGGTTTAGGGTTTAGGGCCTTTGGGGTTAGGGTTTAGGGCCTTTAGGGTTGAGAGTTTAGGGTTTAGGGCCTTTAGGGTTTAGGTCAGGCTTTTCGGTGAACTCGAAAGAAATGGCATTAATGATATGGGCATTTGGGCTCGTATCATGCGTCTAGAGTTTACCACATAGGATTCAGGGTTTTACCAAAGACGTGTATCACGGGTGTAAACCGGCCTGGAGTGTAGGTTTCAGGGGCTTTTCCTCCTAAGGCATTGATCTGGGCTTCGTGCGTTGAGTTCGGATGCAACGGGTTTTTGGCCTTGGGGTTTAGTGTCTCCCCTCGGACTTGATCATGGAACTCCGGCCCCTTTGCTAGCCACGCATTTTCCGGTAAAGGGTTCCTGACGCCCTAAACCCTAAATCCTAAATCCTAAGCCGGTTAAGGGTTTATTAGGCTTTGGGTTCCTACAGCGACCCCTTGGTGGGTCCTTTGCCCTGATTCCTCAGCCAGACCCTCAGGACCCCTCAGGACCCTAAACCCTAAGCTTTTCAAGCGGTCCAAAAAATGGCTCTAGAGGACTCCCCGTCATGGAGGAGATTTTTGTTGCTTGATTAGGGTTTAGGGTTTAGGGTTAAGGGAGATCACATCCTGTTCATGGGGGTCCTCTGTTTGCTTGTTAGGCTCAAGCGGGATATCATGCCTTTCAAGCCTACTTGCCTGCAAGTAGTAGATTGCTGTACCCATGGAAACCGTAGTCGAGCCACCCACTATGCAGATAAGTGGGCTGAAGAAATCGCATCCCTGGCCAAGTCCGAGACCTTCAAGACTTCTAGAGTGCCGAGGCCGATGCAGTATACGCGTTCTGGCATCCCGGACCAACGCAATCCCAGTCTCTCAACCCGATCCCTGATGGGAACCACGGTTGCCAGAAGTTTCAAGTGGCTGTCCCAATAACCCTATCCTAACAACCCGCTGTGATTTAAGGTGCACACTCTGCTGAAATAAGTATATCATAGTATACTATGGTGTATTACACCTGTAGCCCAAACCCTACAAAATAGTAGGTTATCTCAGAGAAATCGCACTTCAATACCCATGGTCCAGTGCAGCCATGGGAGCGGGCGGCTCGAGGCAACTCTTAGACTATGAGGAAGCCGCAGCGCACCCAGACGTTCAGGGAGTTCTTGAAGATTTTGGGTGGGTTGATGGCTTCAGAGATCAAAGCTTCGGGTTTGGAAGGGTCATCTACCTTGCCGCGTCCTTTCAGATGCCCTTCGCTCAAAAGGCTTGTACGTTAAGAGTGTGTTGAACTCGACGGAAAGTAGGTAAGTCATCGCGTGGTGAACTGATTTCCTTGTAATGTCTGTGCTTCGACTCGCTTCAATTGGAAAATATGTTTAGTGAACACACAGACACACTTATGTATGCAGTATAAAATATGCATGATATGTACATGGGTACCGCAGGAACGCCTGGCCCATGTTCCAACTTGCTGGCAAGGGTTTCGGGAACACTGCGCCGCACCCGTCTAGTACATCATGTTGAAAGAACGTGGTTTGTAGAGTCAATACCTTGCAACAGTTGCGTTGCGTTTAGACGTCTGCAAGAATCAAATTGCGGATTCTCTTATAGCCCTTAGATTAGAGTCCTTACTTATGCTATTGGCTACATATTCCCCCAAACCCTTTTCTGAATTGATGAAGGCCCCCGGCAAGAGATCCGGATCCTGAAAGACTCTGGGACGGTTTAGGGTTTTAGGGTTTAGGGTCTAGGGTTTAGGGTTTTAGGGTTTAGGGTTTAGGGAGGTTGTTTAGCCGATCCTATCGACTCGGCATGTCCTCAAACTCTCTTGAAGCCTTTTGACCAAGGCCCTTTCTTCCTGAAGCGTTTTGCAGGTGGGCCTGTTTGCCTGAACCTGTTGCGCTTACATTGCAGAGGTGCACCCTGAACTTCTAGCACTAAGTCACTAAGCCCCGCCGAACTCCGTAAAAGACCTAAACCCTAAACCCTAAAGCCGAACCCCAAACCCTAAAGCCGAACCCTGAACCCTAAACCCGAAAGCCGAACCCTGAACCCTAAACCCGAAAGCCGAACCCCAAACCCGAAACCCAAATTTTACTCACCTCCGGGCAGTGTTCGCTTCGCAGTCAGGTCCAGCTGCTTGGCACCGAGGCCGGAATTCCAGCACAAGCTTTCCAAAGGCAAGCTATCCCCTAAGGGTCCATGTAGCCAAATAGATATACATAGGCCCCAAAGTACCCAAATAGGGACTACATTAAGGCCAAAGTATATCTATTTGGATACATGGACCCTTAGGGATCCATAGGATAGATAGCTTGAGGACGCACGCACGTGTTAGCCACCCTAGAGCCGAAACACTAGAGCCCAAACACCAAGACTAAGAACCTTAAACTCTAAACCCTAAACTTCAAGAACCTTAAAACCCAACAAAGATTGTAGGCACTCGACCATCTTAGCTGCCCGGAGCCGAACTTAAATTTGTCAGTGGCTGTTCGGCCTTGAGCCCTAAAGTAGTTTAGGGTTTAGGCTTCAGGGTTGACTAAGCCCGAAACCCGAAACCCTAAACCCTATCCTGAGGGCGTAGGGTTTAGGGTTTAGGAATCTGAGCGTCAAGCCCAACCCTAAACCGAAAACCCCTAAACCATACCCATAGGCCCCTAAGTAGTTCCTTTTTTATGGTTTGCATTTAGAATCCTATAAGGTAATAATCCCCAAAAAGGAACTACTTAGGGGCCTATGGGTAAGCCCTAGCCC